CAGATTTGATTGATTCATCTAAAGGTTTGGAGAAGCAAAAGTAAACTTGATCCAGTGAAGTAGCATCAACTTCACCAGACTGATGTTTCCTGACCCATATGCCATTTTTCAACATCTATTATGATGAGTATCCATGCAAACAAGAGATTTGTTTACATGTGGAAGCAGCTGAAGGAACTTTTCAAGGCCAAAGTAATGTCTGGAATAAGACCAAAAGCCTTGACAAGCAGACATGGATATGTGACACATGTAGGGCAGGGGCAAAACGGAGAACAAGAAGGGGGAAATTTTAGGCATGTCTTTCATTGGTCACCTCAGAGGTTGTGTGATGATTGGCAAATTAAAAGGACATAGCAGAAGCTCTTATTGCATTGATATGCATGTGAGGAGACAGAAACTGCAGAGAGATGGATATGGAGGTAGATCAGTCTCAATTTCCACAAATACATATATGTGATTCATAAATGCACAAGACAAGATCCACACAGGCACAGCATTAGTTACACAAGCACAACAAAATCCACAGAATAACTGACACAAGGACACAAGATTCAAACATGCACAGAACAAGATTCACCGAAGTATTTGGGAAAAAAATCTGGGGAAAAACCTACTGTTAATAATTTATTTTTAAATAAACACTTAAAGTTGTTTGAATTTAACTCACCAACACTGGATATTTAACGCATTTTGCTGTGTACCTTCTGTCCGTTAACATTACCACAAATTAATGCAATCGTTTGGTGAGAACTGCTTTAGGCAGAAGCCTCATCTACAAACGTTTTATAATGATACTTATTAAATTCCAATGCAAACTCAACTGTGCACATTGGTTTGAATGAGTAGTGACTGACTTTTTTATCTGACTGCATGTGCACATAAATGGTGGGTAAACAAATACATACATCCAATCTAACCAACCCTGTATTTAATTTTATTACTGGATTACATTCATTAAGACGATTGCAAAAGCTGCACATTGGAACTACAAACAATGCTGATTGATATTGGGTAATAAAGCCAATTGTTTTAAACTTTTTATTTCAAAGAAGCTAAGAAGACAGTGACTACTCGCATGCATTAGTGCACATGTGGCTAGTGGAGCTCAAAAACATTGAGGCTGTAAAGTTTGACATATGGAATGGTGTGTTAATCAAAGACTCCACACTCCCAGCTGGAGCAGACACACTGGGAAAACATTCTGACATGCTTACTTGAGAATGTTCTTAGAAGGGTGGTTTCGAGGGGACACATCACATATGTGTAGCTGAATACACAAGTTTCTCATGATACTGTCCTTTGAAGCAATGATGGCATGTGCGCCTTATGCCCTGGTGTATGTGCTGGGTTCACACTTACATTATAACCATAAGGAAGAAGCCTCAGAGTTGGTTTAAAACAAGGAATGTTGACATGAGGATCTTTGTAAAACAGACATTGATTGTCATGGTTTAATAATCTTAAATAATAGTCTTGAGATGACTCCTCCGGATTTATATTTTGCTTTTCTAATTCCTGTCATAATACAGTTTTGTAGACATGCTTGTTCAGAAAATTAATAGTTCAAATTTATCCGACTAAAAAGTATAATTGTACTCAGAAAAACTAATATATTAAGGTAAAGACTGCTTAAGTAACAGAATGGGTTCATATGGAAGTAATTGTGGTAGTTAAGTTGAAATAAATGAATGTCCTGATAAATATAGTGATTAAATAAATACTTAGGGGCCCTGCGTCGTCTCCCTAAATTCCTAGAAAGGCAGATAAGTATAAGTTGAAAAGATGAAATACCTTATAAATGACAGACAGGGTGAGATGGGATAGCGCTACAAGAAGAAACACAGCCACATAAAAGAAATGAAAGCAAAAGAAATCCACAGACAGCAGGGAAACAAAGAGGTCTTCTTTGTTTTCAATTCTGCTCACTACTGAAGGGGATGATAGCATAATATGTTTGTTAATGGGGGAACAAATCTTTGGCGCTCAGCTTACATAACTGCTGACTGACTAATCATTCATGCTCCCTGAAACACACACGGCTGTCAGTCAGAACATTTCCCTCTTTGTATTACCGAGCCAAAGCTGAAACCAGATATTTGCACTCACTGCATTAAAAGATGCATAGTCACTTTGTAGTCACTTTAGCAGAATAAACCTTTCTTGTTTTATGTAGGTTAGGGTTACAAAAAACATTTATGTTTGCTACATACTAAAATTATTAAGGACTGAATTGATTTAACTGCTTTTAATTTTAGAGGTTTAAGAAGATGAGTATTCGGCAGGATAGTAGATTATAATTAAAGCTTTTATCCTTCCTCAATTGGGGAAATCCATGTGGCAGCAAGTAAAAGGTGAAAGGAGCAAAAGAGATAAACACAAGAGTAAAAAATATAAAGTAAGGCCAAATTCACTACAGAGGAATGAATACTTTAAAGCTATTAAATTCACAATTAAAGTCCCAGTTATAAACCCAGTTTGAGTTTATGCTGATTCTGCACCATTAGTTAAAATAACCCTTAAATAAAAAAAGAAACACAATTTCTATAGGGCTGAAATCATTTCTTTGTGGTGACCACTCAAACACTGAATTTTGTTCTTAAGGTAGTTTGTGGCTAATGTATTGATATTTAAAGACTGATTTACTTTTTATATTTATACCCTACTTTTTCTCAGTGACTGATGTTATGGTATTTTGCCCCACACATGGTTCCTCACTCATAATGCCTTCTAGTCATTAGTGATTATGGGATTATGGGTTCAGTTGCATCTCATCAGACTCATCTGTCTCTAAATCTTCAGGAACATAATGAAAAATTCTCCTATAAAATTTCCTCACATATTTTTTGGTATTTACTAAACAGAAATAATTTTGGTCAAACTTTTTCTTAAAAACAGAATACTGAAAAAATAAATCTACTTTTATTGCAATTTTATTTTCATCTGAATATGTATATATCCGGTTAAATATAAACATGCAAAGTTATAAAGATTATAACTTAAGTATGGATTTATCTTTTGAAGATGACACTATGTGCACATTTGCACATTATGTACACATAGTTTTATGTTAAATACAGGCTAATACCAGAAGCAGTTGTCAACTATCACTAACTTCTCACCCATCTGAGACCAAATCTGCAAGAACATCTGACAAGCCAAAGAGCCAGCTGCTTTCAGCCTGAGAGGAGAGCAGAAATGAAAGGGTAGGAGGCTGAGATGTGGCCATGTAGTCAGGCTCCATCTGCCGATCTGCGTCAGTCAGAGAAAGCTTTGGCACAACTTTACTCTCTGACTTCACTGGTACAACACAGCATCAACTTATTCTTTACTTTGAAGATCCGTTTTTTTCTTGCTGTCTGCTGTAACTTCGATTCAGAATTACAGCAGATTATTAAATCTGCGCACCATTGCATCCCCATTCCATCTTTCTGTTTCTAGAGGTCAAGTGAAGAAGCAATTGAAGAGACTGAATCACAATACGGATCCAGGTCCTGATGGTGTAAGCTTCAGAGTCCTGAAGGCCTCTAAAGAGCAGCTGTGTGGGATTCTAAACCACCTCTTCAACCTTCACCATACTGTTTTACTCTGTACACCTCTGACTTCCAGTATAAGACAAGAGTATTTTTATCTGCAAAGCATCTTCTTCAGAAAACTGTAGAACAACAACAGAGTCTTTGGCCAGATACTTCTTCAGATCTGCTTCAACACAGACTGCCATCTATAATAACTCGTCAGAAAAACCCTACACGGCTTTGACAATATTAATTTTCCCTTTGGGTCAGTAAAGTATTTAATCCAATTTAATTTTACTGTTAAAAAGACATCTAAATCCTTCCGCCAATTTTCCCTCTGTTCATCCATCCCTTGATCCCTCATCCATTCATCCAGATGATGGTACCTTTTCCAGATCCAACTATTCCAACATTGCGTCTTCCCACTGTTTGTAAATTCTGACTTTAAAATATAAAATGTTCAATGCAACATTAACTCATCTACTGTATATGCTCTAATATTGGAGATCTAAAGCAGATCCAAATATCCTATTGCCTGTTTACCCATAACTTTCAAAAGGAATTCCTGTAAGCATGATCATAATGGTGTATGCTAACTGTTCAGTTGCAGGAAAGCAAACAAGACAGCCAGTCAAATAAAATCTATTTCATGCATGGTTTCATGAGATGATGTCAACTACATTACATGGCCTAGCATTGCAAAAACCTTTGAGTATATTAAAACCTGATGGCTTATCGTCTTTTTCTAGGTATTATTCCACTGTGCCCATAATCTGCCACGTCAAACTGTCTGGATCCATCGCATGTTGCAGCCCAGTAAGGGCTCCTTCAGAGGCTGCGACAGGCAATCAGAGGCACGCTTGCCAGCGCCAAGGGAGCCTTGAAGACTGTCAGCTGATGAAAGAAAGGAAAAACTGTGTTTTGGGTTTGGTCCGTGTGGGCCCAAGCCAACAGGAAAGCGCCAGTGTTTTCCTCTTCATGGGGCATAATGGATTCTCTCCGCCAATGAAACCCTATTCCGGCCAGGACAGATGTAAGCATGATGAGAAGACGGCTAAAGAGAGGAGAAATCTAAAAGAATACAAGCAGATGGTGTGGAAGGGAGGGATTGGGAAGGTTTGCCAGCATTCTGTTAAACAACAAATGGGACTAATTCTAGGTTTCCAAGTAGTCTGTAGACCACTGCCTATATCATTGTATGCAACATGATCACGGTCCCCAGGGGAGTTACTATAACAACCAAAAACAAGAGTGCAATACAAGAAGACATATCCCTGACGCAACCATCAATGTACCAACTCTTCGGCTACTGGCACTGTCCAACTCCTAAGATTAGGTTTTTAAGGCCTTAACATTCAGGGAACATTGGTACATAGTGATCACAGGGTCTAAACAACGGTAAAAAAACATATTCAGATGAAGGTAAAAGTTTCTTCCATCATAAGTAGCTCAAAGTTGTCCCACACCGGTGTAAGAAAGGCTTTGTACCTTCTCTCGTTGTCATCTAGGTGAGCAAACAGCACATTCTTGGAGATGGCCTTGGCCAAGGCAGTCATGGTCTTGTAGTCCTTTGGAATCACCTGCACAGACAAAGAAGTAATTACAGTTAAGTGGACCGCAACAACAAAGTGCAGGTGGAACCATGAAACAAACCAAAGCAAACACATAATGTGACCAACTTCAAAAGCAGACCAAGATGAGTAATTAAAGACCAGCACATTGGCAAACCCTAAAAGACATCTCCCACACATGCATCTGTGTATTTCTGGGAATGCCCATCTGCTCGGCCATAACACTAAAATGTCACACAGAACTTAAAAAAATTCACAAGAGCCCTGAAATCATTCATAAAGCATGCATTTTTATGTCCAAGTCTGTGGTGCGAGTTTAAGCAAGGGGGGGAATGGCAACATCTGAAACCACAACAAAGCAGTCCTACACAGAGATCTAATGTATGTTTATGGTGAGGCATCCTAAAAAGGCAGTTTATGCTCATGGGTATGTTAATATAAATATGATAAGGAAGAGAGTTTTGTAAAAATCTTTCTAAAATAACCTAGAGATTTAGTTCAGTGATGAGTGTGTAAGTGTGTCTTTGCCTTTCATTCTAGGAAGGAGGAGGGGTTAGGCTGTAATTATGCTAAGGCAACAGATGTCTCCACATGAGGACAACCACACTGCACAGTGTACAATATGCACACAAGTGCACACACAGCCACATCACACATAAATGAAGGAATACAATTTTTTTATCATCAGTTGAACTAAGAGCATGACTGCACAGCAGCCAGAAAGAGAACCATGGTGGTCAGTCCTGGAAACTGAATTGAGGGGGGGCACATATTTTTAGGTTAGACTCCTGCTGATCTTATGTAATATGCCAGCTCAATTTTCTATGCAGGAGATTATTTAATATGAGGGCAATGGGGTTGTAACTATACCGCATAAGGATTTTTCTTACAAAGATGCATGGCTTTCAAATGAAAAGCAGTTTGGAAAGAGTTCCCTTAGGGAGTCAGCAGTTACCTCTGCATCTTTGTGAGGTACAGAGGCAGTTTTTAAAATATCAAACTGATAAAGGCTGTTTAATGAACTTTAACCCCTTTTAAAACAATATTTTCCTGATAGTTCGACAGAGAAATAGAAACAAGGTATAGAACATTTTGATAGCTTTGATCCAAAGAACAGTTTATGGCTTGTGAAGAGTTGGTGTTTTATTAAACTGTTTGGCTAATTCATCCATGGCTAGCTGACATTTCTCTGATATCTTGTTTTTATTGGCTGTATAAGAAGCATCAGAATGCAGTGCAGTTAGTGTTCAACAATAACTTTTTTGACTTAGCAGAGTTAGTGCTGGTAAAAATACGCGGTGTGTGTAATACGAATAAAGTGCTTCCTGAGTGCAGGCCCGGAGTCGCTTTAGGTCTGAAAATGTCAAAAATTCACATTTATAATGGAATGTACAGCTCCATTTACTGTACAAATAAGTTCTGTCATCTGCCACATTAATTTTTATTTTAAACAGTTGACATTAAGAACAGTGAGCATCTGCAGAAGTGGTACATTTTTAATACTCAACTATACCTATGTAGTTTAACCTTTTAAGAATAACTTAGTCATTCATTACATTTGGCAATGTAAACTTTTTTCTTTGTATTTATTACATTTCTATATCCATTTAACATAATGGTGCTATTTAATTACTTCAGATTGAAAGCTGTTGAATTATTGATGCCGTTTTGCATATACCATGACCATGGTTTTTGGACATTGGGAACCAGTGGCCATATTTCATCTTCACATGATGACCACAGAGGAGGATGCAACTCTGGTGAATAAACAGCTGTAAGATCTCTGCAAAACCATCCCACCCCCACCCCAGCCAAGGCCTCCAAAAGCAGTCAAAGGCATCATCATCATATATCATCATATCTATATTTTTTTAAAACAAAGCGGAGTGTGTATGACGTCATCCGCGTGTGCCGGCTACCATTCATTCATCCTGTCCTCTGAACTGCTGCTAGTTTTACTCCTGCCTAGAAGATGTCTAGTGCTACTACCACAGATGATCTAGCTCCTGAAATGGAATTGAACGATTCATGCCGGATGTCTGGGGGACAGTGATTCGCCTACATTTTATGAATGCTGGCGTACCATGAATGATAAATTATGAACAGTTTAGTTTGTGCCTTCGACTCATTGCCCATAGGAAGATGTTACTTGGATATAACCTAACGGAATATCTTCAGAACAGCTCCAAATGAAACAAAACTCATATGGGTGTGTAGAACATTATGTAATAAGGTAAAATCAAGGGTCCAATGTAAAAATAAATAAATAAATACATTTTTTTTTTAAACGGCGTTCCCCTTTAGCAGTGGGTTCACTGTCTAGTTCTACGACCTCTGACCATAACAATTTTTTCAAAACATTCTTGTTAAAAATCATTAACTATTAACCTTAAAGGGGAATTTCAGTTTTTTTACATTTGGCCCTTGATTTTACGTTATTACATCATGTACTACTCACCCATATGAGTTTTGTGTCTTTTGGAGCCGTTCTGAAGATATTCCGTTGGTTATATCCGTAGGTTATCCGTAGATATTCCGTAGGTTATATCCAGGTAACTTTTTCCTATGGGCAACGACTTGACGGCACAAACTAAACTGTTCATAATTTATTATTTATGCTACGCCAGCATTCATAACATGTAGGCGAATCACTGTTCCCCAGACATCCGCGGTTATATTTTTTATATTTATATCTTTTAAAAACAAAGCGGCGCGTGTATGACGTCATCCGCGAGCCAGACTGGAGTTGTTACATTTAAAAAAAAAAAAAAAAAAACTTTATTTAAAGCTACAGTGTGTAATTTTTAGCGACATCTAACGTCCAGACTGCAGACCGCAGCAACATGAA